CCTCTAGGGCTTCTGATTTTTCATGCAGTAGGCAAAGATACATATATCTAGAGTGATCATCGATTAAAGTGATGAAGTATCGTTGACCACCCAGGCAGGGAGTAGGTAGGGGTCCACAAATGTTTGTATGGATCAAGTCTAAAATTGCATTACTTCTTGCGGCATTTGTTCCCCTCTCGGTAGTTTGTTTTCCCTTCATAAAACTTACACAAGTGGGGAACTTGGTGAAATCCATGGGTTGCAATATCCCATCATTTATTAATCTTTTGAGTTGATCAACTGATATATGACCCAACCTTTTGTGCCCCAAGGTTAGAGAGTCCCTTTCATGAGAACTCCTTTTAATACTCGCATTGCAACTTAAGACCAATTTGGTCTCACCCAATGAGCAGTCCAATTTATAAAGGTTGTCAATTAAGAAACAATTTCCAACTGATTTGTTGGATTTAAACAACTCAAACTTTGAACCAAAAAAAAGTAGTTCAGAACCATCTAAAGTTAACTTGGAGACTGAAATCAAATTCCTAGAGAACCCAGGGGCAAACACAATTTTGTTTAAAATCAACTCAAAACCAATGGAAAGAAATAAATTAAATGTTTTTATAGCCTCCACTTCGAGGCGATCTCCATTTCCCAAATAACTGTTTCTATGGCCTCGATTTCCATGTATTAACAACATGAATCGAGGAACCAGAGTCAATCCACCAAGAGTCTCTATGGACTTCAATTAAATGTAATTCACAAACAAGGGATAGATTTATACTTGCATTCTTTACCTTCTGGTCTTTCTTCTTCTCCAACCATTTCTTGTAACGAGTGCAATCACTCTTGACCTCTACCCTTCGTGAAGCTTCCTTTCTTTTTGTCCTTAAGCACAAGGTTCGTTGTTTCTAGCTTCTCATGCCTCGATCTTTCTTCCTCTTGGACACACATAGTTAAGAGCCTATTAAAACTCCATGGCTCTCTTTGTGTGTTATAAGAGACCTTGAATGGTTTATACTCTGTAGGCAGAGAGTGCAACACGAAGGCCACTAGGAAGGGTTCAATAACGGTGACACCTAAACCATTTAGTTTGTCACTTGTGTCCATCTCTAATATGTGCTCTCTCATTGTCTTGGAGTTGGAGAGCTTCATATTAACCATTTTGTTAAGAAGGCTCTGATACCACTATTGGTTGATTGAATGTCAACAAAATAGAATAAAAAAAAAACAATTAAACTAAATGATACCTGCAAAGCCCATTGCCATGAACGTCTCTTCTTCCTCTTGTTTCCTTTGATTTCAAGCCAAGAAGAATGTTCCCAAAGTTAGTTTGATCAGCTATTCAGTCCAGCCTTTTTGTTTGTATTCGTACTATACTTTTCTCCTTATGGATTCTCGAACATGGGTTGATGGTTTGCAATATTTGGCAAAAGTTTCTTGTATTTGTCAATGGAGCTTTTCTCATACTCTCGTACTAGACTAGAGAGGCTAGAGTTAATTCTCCTTCTCTCACTATCTTCTCTCCTTTTCCCAATAATGGTTTGGTGGGTAAGAGTAGAACGAATGGGGGTTCTTTTCTCTTAGAAGATAGCTTAAAGGAGGGACCCTATCCACCTATTTAGTAGGTAGTTCCCCCCATTAAGGAACTCCGACTATAACAACCTATAAGAATCAACCATCTCCCCTATCAGTTCAACCACTCTCCACTTATCCTCATCTACCTAAATTCAAAAATAGGATAAAGATAAGTGGGTGAGAGATTTTAGGTCCTTATGGTTTTCACTTCACCAAAATGAGAGTTTTTTTTTTTTTTTGTAGGGGACCCCTATGACCACAACAATGGGCCATGAATTTATGGGCCCCACACTCTAACGGTGACACTTTTCTAGTAGATTCAGAGCCTTCATATTCCCAAATATAAATTTCTTTTATGTACAGACCATATTTGGGTAAACTTTTGGCAATTGATTATTTGATTTCACTGATTTATCTCACTAGGATGAATTTATGTGCAAAAAAGGGTTGATATGAATTAAGACTTTTCTCAAGACACTCCTATTTTAGTTTTTCCAACAAGAGGGTACCCCTCAAGGAGGACAGTCTTATAATATTTCTAGTTCATCCTGATCCCTATGGACAAAAGTTATGGACAGACCTTCAAGAACTCAGATGGAGAGGATCTTGGAGAAGATTTTAAGTAGGGTGGTTGAAATGGAGAAATGCTCAAGCAAATCTGTATGATTGGCATATAGCAATGAAACTAAAAGGAAAGTTTTATAATATGGCTACAAGACTAGCAGTGTTATATGGTGTTGGACAACCGGGGGAACAACATAACTACAAAATAAGCATAGATGATATGAAGATTCTAACATGGATGAGTGACAAGACTAGAAAGGATGGAGTCATCAAAAAACACATAGAGGAAGACTTAGGAGGAGTCCCAATAGGTGACAAGATAAGGGAAGGTTGACCAAGATAATTTCGCTATTAGAAGATTAAAACAATAACTTCACCAATGAGAAGTCATTGGATACAAATAGAAAGCTCTATGAGAGTGAAGGGAAGGCCAGATAGGCCATGGGTTAATTTAACTGAGAAGATAGCTCTTGATAGAGTGCAACACTGGAATAAGATTCATTTAGCCAATCCCAAATAACCTTGGATCAGGCTTTGTTGGTTGAATTGATAGTTGTTCAAGCCCTTTATGCTTACGGTCTCCTATTGCAGAAGTAGAGAAATCGACTTTATTTGTTCAAAGATCAGTCTTTTAATATTCTATTCAAATTCTCAATGCAGTCCTTTTAGTAGTCAATGGAAAAAAGGAAGGAAACAAAGAAAATAAAAAATGATCTTACTTCTTTATTTAATATTTTTTTTTTGTTATTTATGTAGATGAATTGACTAAACATATTCAAGAGGAGGTCCCATGGTTCTTGATTAAATGCAAAATCAAGTTTATGGACAAGTACATTAGAAACAAGAAGTTTTAAAATAAGTAGAATTAAAACAGAATATATGCAATGTAAATTTAATAATACTAGGAGAGCAAACCATGATACACTTAGGATTGGTTACCAAGATATAACTCAATGTGACCTCATTTTTTTTTCAGCAAAAGTGAGATTTATTATATTAATTTGCAAAGTATGAGTGATTAATACAACTTGATTGATCAAAATGTCAATCCCCTCTTACAAGACCAAGTTACAATGATACCCAAGACAAACACTGCCTCATAACCCCTTGTTTGGCTAAGGAGTCAGCTAAACCATTTGCACTCCTCCTAACCCACTTGAATTCAACCTCTATTTCTCTTGCAATCTTTTCCACTTCTCTTGGCACATGCTGAAGGATCCAAGGAATATGCCTATTGGATTCTGCCCAAGAGATGACTATCTGTGAGTCTCCTTCTGCCTCAATCATTCTGAATCTCAGCTGTTTAGCTAGCCTAGGACCTTGCAATAGAGCCAACAATTCAGCCTTCAAAGAGTTTCTGAACCCAATTGGCCCTGAAAACATTGCCACAATCCTCTTCTCTGAATCTCTGAAGACCCCTCCTATTCCAACTATACCTGGGTTTCCAAGGGAGCTCCCATTGAAATTCAATTTTACTTTATTACCTGCTGGGGGTTTCCACTCCATCCTAACTGTCTTTTACTCTTGAAGATTGTGCTATTTCAGCCCAAGCCCTTGAGAAGTCAGTTATTGAGAAGGAATTGAAGCCTTGGTTCAATAATTCATAACAAAGGGGGCATTGAGGAGGATGTTTTTCATAGAATTAGAGCATGATGAACAAAATGGAGGGGCACATCTGCAGAATTATGTGGCAGGAAAAGACCACCTTGGCTAAAGGGGAAATTCCATAAAACAATTATAAGGCCATCTATATCGTATGGACTTTGGAGTAGTGTGTTTTTTGGTAGTAAATTAAAAAGAAAATTTATTAGGAAAATAGAAGAGAGTACAAAGAAGGTGATAAGAAATCACCCACCAAAAATGGAAAACCTCTCCCAGACATTCAAGGGAAACAAACATACCCACATCAAATGCCAAAACTCACAAAGCAAAATAAAGCAACCTCTCACCATATACTCAACCAGCTACATAACTCAATACTTTAAGAAGTTGACACCTCCCTACAATCTAATCAACTAAAATTCACTATAGGAGTTGCTCCAATAAGTGGAAAAAATGCATATGCTTAGATAGATGAGTGGTAAAACTAGAAAGGACACGGTCATAAGTGAAGTCAAATGAAGAAACCTAGGAGTAGCTCCAATAGGTAACAAAATGAGAGAAAGTAGACTGAGGTGGTTCAGTCACGTGCATGGAAGACCATCTACAACACCTGTAAGAAGAAATGATCCATTACAAGGAGCTAAAAGTGTTAGAGGCAGACCAAAAAGGATCTGGTGGAGACAGTAAGAAATTATTTAAGCACACATAATTTGGTGATGGATATGGCACAGAACAGAACAGAATGGTGAAACAGGACTTATGTAGCTGACTGCCGACCCTATATAGTTGGAACAAGGCTAGATGATGATTATGATGATTTATTTAGCAATATTACAATGGATAATTTTCTCTTCAGTGCTTTCAATTTCAAAGAAGGAAAAGTAACAATTCTCCTTCCTTTACAGGTTCTCCTACAAACAAATCATAGTCTAGAAGAAATTGTTCAAACTAGAGGACCAAGTAGACACAAATTGTTCAAACTAGAATAAATTCAGTTGGACAAAGGAAATCCTAACAAAATGGCTGACCTTCCGGAATTAAGTATCAACAATGAGATAATTCCCAGAAGGATCTTACCTCTATGCACCAAAATGGTTTTATGTTAATTAGGCAATTTGATATTAACCTAAATAAATATGCTAGAAATGACACTAACTAAAATGCTAAGCAGTGTAGTAAATGCGATAATTAGGCTCACATTAGAAAAGCAAAATAAACGATTTGCAGGAAGGACTATAAATTGACTACACATATGCAAGGGAAGGATTAGCAGTTACCATTCTCATGATGTTTAAGGCACGCGACCATTTTCTTGTTGTCTATGCATCTGTTAGGTGCCACTGCACACTCTCCTCGTGATGAATCCACAGGACTATCAGATTCATCTCCTTTTTGGTTAGTTTCATCTTTGTCTACGTGGATTTTAGCCTGTGGACTCGGTGCAGCCTGACCATCTGAGACCTTCGGGCCCACGTCTGTTGAATTCTCGGGATTGAGGTGGCTAGGATCGAAATTCAAAATAGACGTGGGGCTGGGCGATGGAGAAATCTAAGAAAAAAACATAAATTCTCAGAATTCAGAATTGGAAAAGAAAGAATTCGTAACTCCAGAGACAAGGAAACGGAGTGCAAAGAGTATTACCTCTTCTTTTACAGGGAGCTTCACCCTGGGTGCAAGCCCCGCCACTGTTCTAAATCTTCCAAGCAAGGAAGCATCGGATCCTTTATCAAAGATCAAAATCAATATAATTACTGTGATAACTCCTTTTCTGTCCATCCTCGAGGGTCTCTAACCTCTACGGATCCAACAAATTCCTAGCCCACGAACGCAACCGATCCGTATATCAAATGAGAATAAATCCGAGAATCTCATATTTTAGCTGACATAGAGCCTGTAGGACCAAAGATTGAAGGAGAATTGAAACCAGAAAGCAGGGAAATCAATTACATATCCCACACTAGCTCAGAACAACAACGAACCAACTAAATTTAAGATTTCTGGATGGAATAGAAGAAGTACAGATGCGGTAAAGAGATTGAAATCAGTTCAAACATGAAACTAAAAGGGGGAGACCTAAAACAATCTTAGGGATGAAACTAGGGTTTAAACAATCATGGGAAAGATGGATGGAAATCGTAAATAGAACGCTAGAGAGGCCAGAAGTCGGGCAGACAATAACGTAGACAGGAATTTTTCAATGTGAGGGGGTGAAGTGGAAATTGGAAATTGGTAGTCAATTCCAGTCTTTTCCTTCATTTCACGGTTTGTTTCTTGGATAATTTCACATTGACGATTTCAGCGGCCTCCTTGTCATTTCCAAAATGCCCAGCCAAACCTCACGTTATTCGTCTGTGCGTGTGAGTTCAAATTGGCGCCTAACAGAGCGCTCCACAGGCGCCCCACTTGCATGAAGAGATGTTTTCGGTACATGGCTGGGATGGGTTGTGGAGCGCCATACGAATTTTGTGCGCGTTTCGTCCGAATTCGATCTGTTGAATAAATATTTGACGAATAAATGATTTGAAAAATAAATACTTTAGAAATATTTTTAAGTAATTATTTGAATGAACACTTATTAGTGTCTTGGGTCCTTTTTCAGATTACTTACAGTTATTTAAAGTATTTACTAGTAGAAAGTTAAAATGTGTTTATACAGAAGGGTAAAATACAAAAATACCTCCCTTATAGTTTTATTTTAACAAAAACCTACCCGTTATTTAAAAAAATTTGACAGAAACCTCCCTTCCGTCAATAATCTTCACGGAAAATGTTAAACAAATGATAGTTTTTTTCAAAATATCTATTTTACCCTTTTTACGACTTAATGTGTATCCGATCCTCAAACACTGTTCATCTTCTTCAACTACTTCGCTGGGTTTTGCCCTTCTTCCATGGAGGTAAATCTGTTGCGCCCACAAGCTCAGCCTTAGTCACAAGTCTTCATCGATTTATGGTTCTCACTCCCATCAGACGGAATTCCAATGAACTGCAAACTTTGGTCGACGGATTGTCCGGAACCACGAACACAGGTCGCTGCCAATGTTGTTCTTCAAACCCAGATGATTCTTCCGGATCTAAGATGGTGGGGATAGGGAGGTAGATCTTGCCTATACGAAAGATTTTCCCGTGCGGCTAGAACATGCTGTGACTTTAGTGTGAGGAGCAAATCCATAATCAATGAAATTAAGGGGTTGATGACAAAGATGACGAACGACGGGGCATGTAGAGGCAACACATCGACAACGGAGCTATTCCTTCGCGGGACTAGAGCGGTGCCTGTGCACTGCTTATACGTCAAAAAGAACCGGCCGTTGGTGCTTGTGATCCCGATCGAAAGGAGAAGGCGAGAAGAGGGGCAGAGGAGAAGAGGGCCGTCAAAAAAGCCACTCATTCATAAGATGCTTCAAACATACTTGTGCACTAGAACTAGCACTCGAGTCTCTGAGAAGAGGGGCAGAGGAGATGGCAAGAAGAGGGGTAGAGGAGAAGAGAGCCCTCGAAAGTCGCGTCTCTACGATGCAAACCCAGATATTCTGAAGGCCCTCGAAGGGCCAACATCCAAGTGTCAATCATGGTTCCCAATCAATTAATCTCCAACATTTCTTCAAGCCAGTCCCTCGCAAACGAATGGGTTCGAACCAATGTCGTTCCTTTCTACCCCAAAACCTTGATTCGTTACCTCCTTGTCAGCAATGAAATCTTCAGCTTCTCCTCCGACCAAGATCGACAAACATGGTACGATCTCGTCCAAGCAATGCGCCGACTCAAGTATTCCCTCAAAATCCACAACATTAGAAACATCAAAATTGGGACTACAGTTGCCATGGATGTCGTTCAATCGTCCTTCCCACCATCGAACGAAACGTTTTGGTCCGATATCTCCATACCCGTGATGAAGCCTCTGTTACAGTTCTTTAGCCGAACCAAATGGCGACCCCACGAACATTAATCTCGACTATGCGCTTTTCAAATGGAACCAAACCTACACCGACCCGCGAAGCGACTTAACCTACACCAACCTCCTCGACCAGATGCTCGACTCGGTTATCTTCGCCACGACCAAGCTTGGGTTCCCGAGCGTTTGGCTTGTAATCGCCGAAACAGGGTGCCCAATACCGGAGACGTCGACTAGATCGGAGCGAACATCTTCAACGCAGCTACATATAACCGGAATCTAATCTGGAGAATGACGTCCAAACCAGCAATCGGAACTCCGGCCCGACCAGGTGTAGTAATAGTAACATTCATTTTCGCATTGTACAACGAGAACCAGAAGGGTGGACCGGGAACTGAACGGCATTGGGGATTGCTGAATCCGAACGAAACCTTGGTTTATGAGGTCGATTTAACTGGAAAACGGTCGGAATTCGACTATTAGAACATGGCTTCAAGTTTCGACTAGTGGGAGAAGGATCCATTGTTCTTTGCCACAGAGGAAGTTCGGTTGCATCTCAGTGAAGCGGCAAGTGTAGCTAGCTGCTACGGGCTCGAGCAGGGGATCGTTCTTGGACGCTAACAGTGTGAACCATGCCGTCACCATCAAAGAAATGGTGACCGACAACAGGCTTGAACAGGGGATCGACGTAAACAATCCAAGGTTTCGGTTCCATCGGGAGAGGGTGTCTTTTGTTGCGAGAAAGGTAAAATAGGTATTTGAAAGGGTAAAGTAGGTCAATCTCAGTAGGACCAGGAAAATCATTAACGTGTCAAAAGGTAAAATAGGTATTTGAAAAGATTCAATCATAGTTTTAACGTTTTCCGTCATGATTATTGTCGGAAGGGAGGTTTTTGCCAAATTTTTTTAAAATAGCGGAGAGGTTTTTGTTAAAATAAAATTATAAGAAGGTTTTTATGATTATCAAAAATTTCAGGGGAGGTTTTTGTATTTTACCCTATATAGAAAGGGGATGGGCTACCCTATGTTGTGTAGCCACATGAAGCGAAAAAAATGTATTTATATAAAAATCGATCAAATTATGAAATTTTGGGGGATTTAAAAAATTGTTTATTTTCTTGGGTTTCAAGCTAAATCCTTTAATTTTATCGTAAAACAAGAAAAATCCTATGCTACTTCATTAATGTTCTTTGGGATAAATAACTCAATTTATTCATACTTGCTAAATAATGGATACAAGAGAAAGCTCTTTAAAAACACTACGCTTGAGATGAACATATCAAATGTACAAACATTTTTTTATAATTTTAAAGACGATCTGACTACCAGCAACAATGGGCTCGATGAACCTGCAAGAGATGAATCAGAGAACCGGGGTGGACTACTCGGCGAGGTCACTCCGGTGCTTAAGTTAGCACTCAGTTGTGAGCTGAAAATGATATCAGATTGTGAGAAAGCTAGAGAGCAGAGATTCCGCATCTCTTCGCCCATGGGGGGTGAGGTCTTTATATACTGGAGTCCTTGCGGGTTTGGTGGAGTAATTCTTGGATCCCCGCTGTGATGGGATCCGTTTCTATGTTAGTTGGGGATAATGCCACCAACCGGTAAGGTTGCCCATTTCTGTCTGAATCGGGGAGTGGGTGAGCAAATACTAATCGTTACAAGTCATGATCCTGTAAGATGCGGCATACGGTGGTGAAATCCTCGGGGTTGTCATGCGGTGGTTGGTCTGATTAGGAAGCGAGTTGCCTGTGAGGTGCCAAGCTGCTTGGTGGCGAGCTGCCTGTGAGGTGCCAAGCTGCTTGGTGGCGAGCTACCTGTGAGGTGCCGGCCTGTTTGGTGGCGAGCTACCTGTGAGGTGTCGAACTGCTTCTTATTTGTCATGAGGTGCCATGTGTCATAATGTCATTAGAGAGTCAAATTCGCCCTGATCAACAAGGTTGAGTAAATAGGCATGGGGGTGGACTGAAATGTTGTAACTATGAAATTCTACACATAACCAAGTTGTTGTTTTCCCATTTATATCTGATCACTGTCTACAATAGTTAAAAAACTAATGAATTCGCTTTAAGTATATAGTTATAGATCTCTTTTAACTCCTGCAAGAGCACATATTTAAGCCTAATGCACTTAACTAATCACCAAATCACAAATCTAAGCCTAGGATATATACCCATCATAGGATATATAAACAATAGAAGGATTAATGAAACTTAAAAAAAAAAAGTTTCATTTTTTTGTTTATCATTTGGTCATTCCCCTGAATCAGAAAACCATAAACCATGGTGTATTCAATCTATCTCTCTCTTTCCTTCCATCCCTTCAATCCCAGTCTTTTCCTTCATTTCACGGTTTGTTTCTGGGATAATTTGGCAATGACGATTTCAACGGCCTCCTAGTCATTTCCATAATGCCCAGCCAAACCTCACGTTATTCGTCTGTGCGCGTGAGTTTCAGATTGGCGCTCAACAGAGTGCGCTCCACAGGCGCCCCACTCGCGCATCTCCCATACTTCTCTTATCGTGAAGAGATGTTTTCGGTACACGGCTGGGATGGGTTGTGGAGCGCCATGCGAATTTTGTGCGCGTTTCGTCCGAATTAGATCTGTTGAATAAATATTTGACGAATAAACGGTTTGAAAAATAAATACTTTTAAAATATTTATAAGTATATATATTTTAAGTAATTATTTGAATAAACACTTATTAGTGTTTTGGGTCCTTTTTCAGATCACTTACAGTTATTTTAAGTATTTAAAATGGGCACGGGCAAAGGAGAAACAAAGGAGTGGTTGTTTATTTAAAACGTGGTTATATAAAAATCGATCTAATTATGAAATTTTTGGAGATTTAAAAAACTGCTCCTGCCCATCACAAAATATATAGATTACAAAATCACATTTCTTTTTGTTTGTCATCTCCATATAACCTTCCCCACCTCTCCCTCCCTCCCTCCCTCCCTCAGTCCCCCTCTCTTATCATCTCTCTCCTCCTGCCCATCCCCCATATAAACTGCATTACAAAACCATCTCGCAATCCAACATATTTTTTTTGAAGCACAAAGAAAAACTCCCCTTCCTCATCCCTCTTATCATTAATTGTGAAAAATTTAGAAAAAGTAGAATAAATCCCTTATATTTAAATAAAATAAGGGAAATGTAAGAAATCAAAATAAAATAATCAACAATTGAACTTTTTTTATAAGATATTTGAACTATTGAAGTATAGGTAACCAATTTAATGTATAGTAGCTAAAATTTCAGCTGAGTTGGTTTAGCACAACCCTTCAGATGAATTGTTGTAAAAATAATAGTATAAGAATGCAAAATGGAACTATATTGAGAATAGATTTGGCTTTACAAAACATGGTTTATAGATATCTATTTGGGGACCACCTTGGCAAGCTAGAAGCCATTAAGCTTTAGCCCTCCCAAACAGGCACTACCAGTTTGGTGGGACTGCTGGAAGTTAAACCATTCACCTTGAATAAGGGTATTCAGTCAAACTACACCTAATGTGCAGAAACCCTTATACAATAAAAGAGAGAGAGTTACGGAACAAATAGCTAGCAAATTGTAGGCTAATCAACAGCCATAAACAAATAAATTCTGTATTAACATCTTGATTAGATAAACTATTGTAGGTTAAATAATAGCCAAAAGTAGATAAGTTATTCCTTAATACATTGATTATGGAAACTATTCAGAGGTGTAGAAAAAAAATATTTGCAATTCTTCACCCAAATGATGGACTTCGGTTAAATTAGGGGTCAACTGACTAATGGAGATGCCATACCACCTCAGCAGCTCAGAAATGAGAGGATGGAGGGGAAACCTAAGACTGAACTCTAAAAAGTGTTGGTAAACACAAATTTTCCCCTCTTTTGGTGTTCACGGCTGATCATCGGTGTCAGGAACCCTAAGTCTGTAAGACCGAGGGATAAAGTACTTCTTGCCTAAGTTCTTCACCTACTCGAAGTCAAGAATACTATACTTCTCCGACAATGGAAGGCGCTCTATGTTCACCCCCTGAGCCACATACTCGGCCACCAGCCTCCGGCTGAGCTCGGGGACCTTCTCGCCCTTAACCACGTCAGGTGACCCCAAAGACCCCTCAGCCTCCCTAGGCCTCGTAGATCTGGCACTCTCATTGTGAGAGTCATCGCCCCTTTGGCTGCTTTCAGCACCTATAGGGGCAGTCCTCTCCCTTAATACCTCGACCTCAGGCCTCGAAGCTAGGACCTCAGACTCACAAGGGTTGTCTTCACCGCTATTGGCAGCAGATGGGGTTTGGAAGGAGCTTGCTCCCGAGACGTCTGAGAGTTCATAGCACTCTAAGCCAGAGTCTGAGTAAGACATAGATGCAGATGGGTCCTTTACTTAAGGAGACGAATTCTGGAGAGCTCTAAGGAAACATGAAGGGAAACCGAGGTCTTTGAAGGCAAATGATGAAAGCGAACGCAACTAAGGCCCCTATTTAGAGGAAAACGGATGACCCAGATCACCTCCAACCCAACAACTGCGAAATGACCGCCTCCACGACCCAATTAGGCAACCAACATGTGCCGCTCACCTCGAGAAGACGAAACGACGTCGAGCGAGGCGATTGGTCTGCTCGCCATGCCGACTGGTTCGCCCAACAACACTGAATCGGAGGACGTGCAACCCGGCCAACCTAGTGCCTGTCTCGCCTAAGGACACAGTGCTACGACCCGTCCCGTGCATGACTCTGACCCAGAGCCCATCTCGGGCACGACTCTAACCTACCAACGAGAGAACCCGTGGTATGCACAGTTTGCGCCCACCATCGAGATCTGTCCTCCACACGGGTTATGGCTCATCAGCAACAAGGCTCGTTTTGCATGCGGCTAAGTCACAACCTCTCATCACCAAGTGCTACCCTCGATGACCCTAGCTGAGGCTGGTGCCTCACACAAACTTGCCTAGGCACCAGTCAAACGCAGGACAGGGGCAAGTGCCTCTTACTTACTCCCGTATATGGCACGGATTCGAACTCATGGACGTCGAGGCCTTTGGACAGCAGAAGCCTCCACGGCCTCCCTCGAAAGCCGGTAACGAAGACCAAGTCCACACCACCGCAAGCGATGCTGAGTGCACCCCCATCAGCCGAGGCCGAGGCCCTCGTTAGATAGGCGCATAAGTGCCTCCCAAAGGACAACGCACTCTCTTCGGCTGAAATCGAGGTCCTTAGCTTAGACCTCCTCCATGACCTCGAGAGGGGGGGGGGAATGATGTAGGCACACATGGCCCGAACCAATATCATGTGCACACGTGGCGGGTGACCACACTCCTCAGGGCCAAACCCATCCTAGTCGTCTGAGCTCACCTACCTCCAGGCGGCTTCAAGTATAAATAGGGGGCAACCCTTTCAAGGTAATCATCTCGAATCTAGACTCAAGACTGCTAAGAACTCTCCAATTTCCGTTGTGGCATTGTTTGAGTACTTTTGCCTCAAGCCTCGCCCACCTGGTGTTGCACCCGTACTAACTTGACCGTCGGAGTCCTCGCCTCGAGTTAGCACCTAGGGCCTCTAACATTCTCTCTCTCTCTCTCTCTCTCTCTCTCTTTCTCCAAAAGTCCGACCTACCAGTCCTCAGCCACAACAGACCTTGGACTCCTCAACTAACCCTCGGCTTCAAAGTAAAATTACAATATTACCCTTAAACCATTCTGAACAGCAACAAGTGCCTTGCCTTAAACCTGCCCAACACCAAGGACGAGGAAAACTTAGAGATATGAGCCCCAGCCATATTTCAAACAAAATATCCAAACTCAAAAGTGGGATGTCACAAGGTAACAATCTTATCTTAAAATTCCTATAATCTAGAAAGAGCAGTTGTAGTACATTGTAGTATTGTACACATGATCATTTGGTAGCTAGTTCCATTGATGAATGATGCTTACAATACTTCCAAATCATAAACATTAATATACAAGCAAATTAAGATCAAACGTGCAAGTGCAACACTCTATCTCCACCTCTTCAACACAGAAAAGGTTACCCGATCAGATAAAATCATAAACGGAAATAGGATCAAGGATGGCAATTCTTTAAGTTTAGAGGGTGTTTGGTTCCATTTATGTTTATTCAGTAAACGTTTATTGATGGTGCCACATAGGCGTCATCTCAGCATTTCTCTCTCTTGCTCTTCTGCATACATAAAAAATGTAAGAAGTGAACTTTGGTTTATGTGCATGCTAGCCGTTTGTAGAAGTTATTTTTTAAAACTTCTACAAACGGCTAGACGTTTATTCACTGTTACGCTGAAGTGGTGCCTAGTGGCACCTAATGGCGCCTAGTTGTCATAAACAGTTGCGGTTATTGTATTTCTCAGTTTTACCAGCAAATAAAGTACAAACGTTTATTCAATAAACATAAACGGAACCAAACACATACTTAGTCTGACCCCCGCTCCATTCGGCTAGTCCCTTTCTCCCTTCTTGTGAAATCCTAATGCCCATCAATCCGACTTAATTCTTGCTCGATGTTGATCAGCTGATGGGTCCATCTTTAGCTGTATTTACATCCAAATTATCTATGCAGTATGCACCAGTAGGGGTAAAGTCAAGGGGAAAATGATTCCATTTTCAGGTTGTGTTTTACTGTTTTTTAAAGCATTGATCTAGACCAACTAGTTAACCAATCAACCAAAAGCAAATGAGGTAGCCACCCTATCATGTAGCTGTAATTAAGGGTGTTAATGGATTTGGACGGACCCAAGGTTCAAAATATCGATATGCCTGATGGGCGTATCGAGCAAATTGATACCCTTTTTTTTACTTTTTATTTTTTATTTTTTTGGGAACAGGTTTAGGGGGGCGGTTTAGGTCTTCTCCATCCCTTGAATCGGTCAGACCCCCGATACACCCACTATAGGGGCGTACCAGAGGAGTCCCGGAACGATACGTACTGGCCGATACGGGCTGATACGTGTCGATACTTTGAACCTTGGACGGACCAATAAGGCATATTGAATTGGACCAGTCTAGACTTAATGGTCCAAAGTGTTTATTGGATTGGATTGGACCTGGTCCATCTATTAGAAAAAAACTATATTAGATTGGATTGGATTGAGCCAATATCTGGTCCATTGATAGAAGATAAGAATATAGGTGTCAATGAACCAAATTTGGGTTAGAACTAATCTAAATTAGAACAAATTTGAATAGACTGAATGGTTCAAATATTAAATTGGACCTATCTAAAATGGTGTAAAATATTCACTGGATTGAATTGGACATGATCCATTTATAATGGACTCACATTGGACCAAAAATCCAGTCCAATTGGCACCAACGAGGCAACACTTGAGTAAATAGAGAGATGATTTTACAATAGGGATTTTGTTAAATCAATCAACCATTTATTGGAATCCGAATCTGCACTTCACAATGGACATGGGGAACACCTCCCGTCATTTAATTTATTATTCATGGGGAGATGTTTTCATTATAGGGTGGGATGTGGCTGTGAGGTCGAGCAGATCCCAATTCCATTCATTGATGCATATCTACGAGTACGAGGGTAATACTATGGGAGTGAACTAGACACTTGGTAATTGCCCTTTCATTAACTACTTTTGTGTAGAGTAAGGCTCGTAAAAAGAAAAAGATTCAAAGATGGCATTGAAAGAGTACGTAGTTAGAACTTACAAGCTAGAATGAAATAAAAGGAATTTCTCCAAGGCAAGGAAGAATAAAGCGATCGATGACTTAAGTCGACAACTTGGACCTTTTCTTTTTAATCATCAGTCGACAAGTTGGACTACTTGAATCGAATGGCTTCCATATGGCTGGCCTGGAAGAGATCAGAGAGAGAGAGAGATGTAGTATTGAAAAAGCTTTGCCTTAAATCCTTTAATTTTATCTTCTTTCTCCTCAAGTAAGAAAGGACAAGATAAAATGCTTGAATATCTTTGTAAATAATATGATTGCCATGGTCATAGATGCATGCACATGCATGTTCATGCATGGTATATATATATATATATATGCCTTACTTAAACATGAGTCGATACTAAAAAGCACAGAAAAAGTATAAGCTTTTCTTTTTTTTCTATATGTAGGTGAGAAGTGAGAAGGGATTGATGTTGATGAGATTTCCGTAGACAATAGCCATGAAAGGAAAGGGAGGAGTTGAGAGAGTTGGGGATGAACACAGATCATTGTTCGACCAGTATGAACGGCTGTGTATCGAGATCCAGCTCAACCAGGCAATTCTGGGTAGGAGTTTATCGGAGCCAAGTGTGGGTCGATCCCTGGGTCTGGGGCCTCCGTCTGAAGCTCCACCTTTGGTTTCCCAAGTGCGACAAGGGCGACGTTCCAGCTTGCCCAAGGTCCTGAAGAAGCTGTTGAAGTCAATTTTTGGTAGAAAGATGGGAGGAAGAAAGGATGAGTCGCCACATCCAAACAACAACAATAATAATAATCCTCTTTTTTGCAAGGCATTCAGCAGATCCCTCCGAGTTTAGTTAATCGGCAGATGTTCTGAGCTTTGAACTAGCCTTTGAGGTTGAGGTTGAGGTTGATGACTGATGAGGTGGTGTGTGCTTTAAGCTTAACCATGTTTTTTCATTCTAAATTTTTTACAACTATCTTTTGTATTTTGCAGGTAAATTATGTCCTTTTGTTTTCTTTGCCAGCTGTCTTAATAAACATTTCAGTGATGGTGTGTGTTAAATTTGATTGATTTATGATATTCAATCTGAATGGTGATCTCCCCTATCCCTAGCCCAGCGTGGAATACATGGATGATGGAATTAATGGTGGCCTGGGTCGGGTCTTCACTCCTCATCCGTTCTCACCACATGCCTTGCCTCGTTACTGATTCGGTGGGGAACTGGTGATGGATTACCTCTCTCTCTCTCTCTCTCTCTTTCTGATCTAGTGGAGTGGTAGGCGGGTAAATATAGGTAATGCAGGTCACCTAGACAAATTCAAGTGCAGAAAGAGAGAGAGAGAGAGTAGACTGTTGTATGGGGAATGGGGGGCCTTGACATGATCAGGCATGGCCCCGTTCTAATATTCGAGTAGACCCGTCGGGTCACGGGTTTTGTCGAGAATTAGATCCGAGCAGGTTTTAATTGGGTCTTGAGTCGTGACGTCTATGCTCCAGAAGGCGAAAACGCCTATACCTTAAGCTTAACCTGACCTTTGCATACGAGGAGGAGAAACAATCCAACAACATTACTCCGACTCTATCCATCTATCCTTCATTGGATGGACGATGGAATGTAAGAACTTAAGAACTCCTTTTCTTCTTTCATTGATGCCTTCTTCAGTTGTGTCTTCATCTCCTCCATTTTCCTCTCTTCCCCAATCCCCCCTTCGATCCTGGCAGCTTCAACGTCCTCCCGAGACCAACTTTTTTAGCACTCTCAACTCCTCCAAAACTCAACAAGGTAAGCCGATTCTCCTCGCAAAACTTACTTCCTCTGATATAAAATCTGCAAAAATTACTTCATTAGGGTTTTCCAATCTTGCTAAGAAGTTACCCATAATAGCACTTTCGGGCTTTGGTAAGGAAACTGGTAGACTACCCACCAAGGAAAAAACACAAGGAAACCAAATTTTATTTGACGCAAGTGAAGGATTGCCTGCGACACTAGAGGTAAGAAATGTTGATTTGGTAAAGGAAAGTGGAAGAACACCTACCAAGAAAGAGGATGAACTTATTGATTTTTCGAAGAAAAATAATGGAGTACCCATCAAGAAAAGAGCACTTCGAGATTCTGTTAGAAGAAACGCCAATTTACAAGTACTCGACTTCGTTGAAAGAATTAGAATATTGCCTGTGGATGGGCGGATTGAAATTCTCGATTTTTTCGAGAAAGATGGTCAAGTACCAACGCTTTTCGAATTCAACAATCTGCTTATGGCTATGGTCAAAGCAGGTGAGCCTGAATTTGCCGTCAAGCTGTTCTGTAGATTGCCTTCTTATGGCTTAGCACCCGATTCTCGAACATTTTCGATTATGATTTGGTGCTACTGCAACAAAAATAACCCGGATGAAGCAAAACAGATGTTGAATCACATGATTGAAAATGGATTTCATCCGGATGTTATGACCTTCACTTTGCTGATCAATTCATACTCCAGAAGGGGAAGGCTACAGAGAGCCTTTGAGGTTTTTGAGGACATGGGCCGAATTGGTTGTGAACCTACAGTACGAACGTATAATTGCCTGATCAATGGCCTCTGTTATGTGGGTAGGGTAGAGGAAGCCTTTGATTTGTTTAAGAAGATCAAGAAATCTTCTAAGAAACCAGATATTTATACCTACACCGCGGTTATGGATGGTTTCTGTAAGGTTGGTCGCTCAGATGAGGCGATGGTGTTGCTCAAAGAAGCATTGGAGATAGGATTAAGTCCAACGGTGGTAACTTTCAACACTCTATTTAATGGGTATTGTAAGGAGGGGAGACCTTTGGAGGGAATCCCTCTCTTGAAGAAAATGAAGGAGAATGATTGCCAGCCCGACTATATCAGTTACAGCACCTTGTTACATGGACTGTTGAAATGGAAGGAAATTCCAGCCGCTTTACAGATATACAAGGAGATGTTAGATATTGGTTTTAATGTTAATGAGAGGATGATGAACAGCCTACTTAGAGGAATTTGCAGGAAGTCATGGACTGATGAAGAGCTGTTGATAGATGCCCTGGAGGTGTTTGAGAGAATTAAAAAATTCAGTTATACTCCTCACTCATACACATATGGCATGATGATACACGCTCTTTCCATTAGAGGGGAGATAGAAAAAGCTTTAGCCAATCTACATGAGATGTTAAGCCTAGGATATCATCCAAGGATGATTACCTTCAACACTGTTATCCAAGCACTTTGTCGTGCAGGGAGGATTGATGAAGCATTGCTTCTGTTGGTCCATATGTTTAGAGGAAGAACAACCCCTAGCAGAATTTCTTGCAACTTATTAATCGATAACCTCAATAAACAAGGAAGGTTGTTGGATGCTTGCAAGATATATGGGGCTGCATTGAAGCGAGGTGTCACTCCCCATCAGAAGCCAAAACAATGTTTAATATCTGATAGACAGGTTTCTGGAGAAGTTCTCGCTAAAGTAGGGCCAGAATGCTAGCATAGACTCTGAGAGACATGGTATGGGATCTTTGATAACTGAAGCAATTGTACATGTCACTGAGCAAGGCTTGAGATAGTTGTACACTGTTGCATTTTTAATTATATTGGAAGAGACTTGAAAACTTAGACAATTTTGACTGTAAAATCTGATACTGATAAGTTAGAATTTCTTCTCAGAAGAAGAATGGAAAGAATACTAGTTTTTTTTAGAGATAGAAACAAACTCTTTGCTGAGCATGATAAGCTAAAGAAATCAGGGTTTCTGGTGTATTATGAACATTCATATGATTTGGAAGTGGCAAATTAATGCTATGGTAAGTTTATGTGGCAAATTAATTTCGAAGTGGCTTCGTTGATTGCTACCAAGTCAATTGAGAAGTTGAGAAATTTGTTTGGATAGCTGAGGGGATAAGAGGGTCTTTATCGTTCTCCTTCTTCATGATGTTTGCTGTATTAATCGAGTAATAATATGAAAAGAATAAATTGATCGGCATGATGTTAAGCTATGTCAGGCATTACAGTAGTATTAAACTAAGGTTTAGAACTATTTCTCCTCATTTCTTGCGAAATGCCATGGGATAACTTAACATTTCCAATTAAAAAAAAATCTATTTATGATTAAAACCTGGAAGTTGGAAAGAGATGGGTTGGTTGGCTGGAACCCAGTCCATTAGTTTGGTTGGAATCAAGCTGGAAAACCTTCAAATGTTGGACAAAGCCGTTGATTTAGGCAAATCTACCATGAATCAGTTGACTGATGCTATCTCTACAGACATAAAAGATGCATTTTTCAGACATTTTCTTATTCGTAAATTTCTTTGACTTTTTTTTTTCTGAATTGTTTTAACTAATATTGTAATAAAATAGCACTCAAACCCCCCTCCCCCCCCCCCAAAGTATAGAAAGAAGCTTGCACATGGGGCTTATTCTCTATATTTCTTCTTACAACCTTTGGCTTCAAGGAGCTTTAAGCTTACAGAAAAAGCTACTAAACAAAAGAAATAATGATAAATTGATAAATTATGCATACATGCAGGGGAAGAAATTGATTGCTTATCAGTCTCCAAGAATGGTTATTTATTTCCCCATTTCTGTTTGAGATCCAAAATCAAGTCCCAGAAATGTAGTCGAGGATTCTCCCCCATGTTGTGTTATATTCGGTATTTTATCTTATTCTTCTGTTACTTCGGTTAGAAATAATCATGGTCCCCCATGCTTCATTCCATGTTCTTGTTCTATTCTTTGAGCTAACTCATAAGATCTGCTGAGTGCAAGTGTTTAACATCGTAGTCCATCAGATCTTTGAGCTCTGTTCAGATTTTAAAGGACAAAAAGCTAAGGAAAATGCTGCCCGCAGAGGCAGAACCATAGATGGTGATGAGGAGACGTGTCACTGACTCACTGGAATGCTACATCTACATACAATACCAATAGACCTAAATGAACACATTTATACGTGAATACAAGAATAGAAGCACTCGATGGAGATTGAAGTAGAATTAGTCAAGTTAAAAGCATTCATGCTTATCGAATTGGGTCCCGGTTTTACCGGTTATTTGGGCGCTTTGCCTGTTCAACTCGTGAAAACCTGCCAAACCTGTCATTTAACCAGGGCCCAGAAAGGCCACCACTTTCCGGTCTTCACAGTCCAACCATCTGGTCTGAGCCCAGTCTTAGGACACTGGGTATAACCAAGGTATAGATGTTAATGCGCAAGAGTGGGAAGAGTAGGAGTCGATAAAATCAAAAACCTTTTTTTTGCTAAAATCATAAAATTAGAAACTCAATGTGCAATTATAGGAGATAAAAACAAGAGAGAATTGGTTTGATCATTGATGCAAATTGACGTTCGCGGCTTCAAAGAGGAGAAGACTAAAAAGCAATTGCGTTGAGACAACGAACGAGTTGCGAGTTTGAAGACTTTTAGGGTAGATCAATAAATTGTGGATAGAATTCGTAGATTATCATCAAAAGCTGGGACAAAGTATAAACCATTGTTGCAGTTTAAGTCGTGAGGCTTTACCCTGAAATTAGATTTTTGGAATTCCCCCTTAGTTCCAATGAAATTATTCATTGCACGGGAGAAGCATTTGCTCTGCAGTTTGCGAGAACAGAACCATTTGGCAACAGGTTTTAGCGTTCCCTAGAGTTGGAAGAGAATGAATTAAGAATGTAATTCCTGATAACTTCCATGTCCTCATGATAAGTTTGCCCTTTTTCATAGCTCTCTGTTAGTCTGTTTGTACAACAGCACTTCAGCCTCAGGCAACCATCAAGAGGGCAGTGGGTCTATGGGCAGAAAACTAAATGCTGCCATTTATGCCTTAATTAATTAGTTCAGGGAATCCAATTATGGAAGATTATCAGTTGAGCTGCTCGAATGTAGAGAGCTAGTACATCAATCGGTGTAGTAAATCATAAATGGCTAAGCGTATTACACCACGTCCACAGTTGGATGACCACTAATCCCTGTGATATCAGGTCTTAGATTTCCATGGAATCCATCTTGTACTATGTAGATAAAATACAATTTCTGTTATGCTCTTGTGGATCCTCGTGTTGATACTCGAGAGATTACAAAATCAAGATCAACCTTGGTAAACATACATAATAAGAAAATTTCTTTTGCAATGGAAGAGTCTAAAAATCTGCCAAAACAATCTAAGCACGGCTCATGTATTGTCCAGTTCTCGTATCCACCAATATTTCCTCCCCAATGTTTACAAACAATGGAACGTTTACAACAGCACCTGTATCGAGGGTTGCTGGCTTTGATCCGCCTGATAACAAAATTTTATTTCAGAACAAAGGTTAATACAACATATTATAAATATCTCATAATTCATAAAAGCATGACAACCACCATTACAAAAAACAATATATGGGGATCACAAATACTCCACTAAAGTTGCAAAATAAAATGGGTTTATCAGCATAATTTTCAAATTGAGATTATCATTGCCCCTTATCTTCCAAGTCTGAAAAGTACTTATGTATAGCTGTTCTTCTCAAGGTTCAAAATATCGCAATGTATCATACTGTATTGTACTATTGTTGATATGTATTGTATTGATTTCAAGGTCGTCAAATCGCAAAATATTAAGGTTCAGAGAGTTTCTATGCATTTAAGTGTCAGACCCCTCCTAATGTATGTGTTCTGTAATTAGGAAACTGTGCAAAGTATAATAGTATGCAGTATCCTAGTTAATAAAAGGCTTCATACTGAAATTTTCATTACCGGAACCTTGTTTCTTCTATATCATGAAAATTGTCAAGCAGAGTACTGGGAAATGACATATTATACACCCAAAAAATGAGTAGCAGAGGTATGGATATTGAGATGGTTGGCTGGGAAGATCAGAAAGGGTAGAAGTTGAACAGATGCACTTGTGTAAATCTAGGAGCAGTCTGATAGGTGACAAAGAGAGAGGAAAGGCAGAAAAAGATGGTTTCAGTGAGTCCGTACAAGGCCATCTGCTGCACCAGTAAGGAGTCATTGCATGCAAGTTGAAGCAAATTGACGGTTTTAGAAGTGCTAGGGGAAGGCTAAAAAAGACGGGTCAGTTAAGTGAAAGAATAAGAGGACGAAACTCTTATAGTCTATGTCAGGGATCTTGATAGACCACAATGGTAAAACAGGATTCCTGTAGCCAACCCCAAATAGCGAGGTTAGGCTTCATTTAGTACTCGAGTAGAAATTGCATAATGGACAAAACTCTTATAGGTGCACGCCACTACAGCTAGCCATTACCATAAAAGCACATTTAATTCAATGTCCACAACCGTCATTGATAGATCTTCTGATAAAAAGCAATTCAGTACTTGATTGAACAGCTAGGAACTTTTGATATAGTGGAAACTTTTGACTTTTAGGTACTAGTTCAAAACATGGAATCTCAAACAGATGATATTAATTAATGACTGTGAAGTGTGTTTTTTGGGGCCTCGTAGGCTCATAGAGAGCAGCAGTGTTTTAAAACCCACCCGGATCTTGAGCTTCCCCTCCATGTCAATGGCTCAGCAGTTCAACTGTCTCGCTCACGGGTCAACCCATTATGTCATCAACATAAAAAACTCAAAAAAATCAGGACCCTGGTAACCTGCTGAACAAGTTAGACAGGTACAACTCAACCACCTGGGTCAAGGTCATTGACCAAGGCAACAGTTTTTTTTTTTTTGGTAAAATAGTGAGTTGGAGGTTGACCCGAACTGGTATTGTGAACAGGTCACCAGTCTGATTGACCAGATCAACGACAGGTTGAAAACATCGATAGAGAGTCTCACCAACCATTTATGTGAAAAAATTGAGAACATCAATACTTACATAGCTTACAAAGAAAACCTAACAGCATTACCTTGTGCAGTATCCCCTTTAACACCAGGGTCCGCATCAACCACAGTCAGCTTAACTGTGATGGGAAGTTCAAAATCGATGACCTGCAACAATATCAAAAGAACAAGGTTATATTCCTTCTATGGAATATTCATGTGCTCATCTAAGAGCATGTATGTTTGTGTTGCTGTGTGCATATAATCTGTGGTTTTATGTGCAAACCCACATATATCCATATAAGGATACGATAATCACTTATACTGCTAGAATATGATGCCCATTGCTGCTGGCATTTATGGGCATTGATAGAATCTAATGCCTCAGAGTATCTAGAGTGCTGCAGCATGCACAATATGGTTCTTCGTGTACATCTTTTATATGTTGCACAACTTCAACAGACAAAAGGCCCTTACCCAATGTTGGACTTGGACCCATTTATTGGGGTCTTGGGAGGGGTAGACTAGGTACAGTCCTAACTTTTGGCATCTTTTGCACAAAATGCGCCCCCCC